GCATCACCATTGGCAGCATGCCGATCGATATTTCTTAATACCAGATTTTAGATATATCTTAGCAGGTAGAGCAGTTTATCAGACAAATGACTTTCGAATATCTGAGTTCAATTTAACCTTACACAGCACCCCTTTTACCTCAAAGATTTACCCATTTTATTTTCCCCCAGCATCTCGAACGACTGTATTCAGACAATACTTAATTTACAATGTGGAATTTTAATCAGTTCCCTGTTTTATGTTTTTCTTCAGACACATCTTTCAGACATGTGATTTTAATGAGCAAATATATACTGTCTCGCTCAAACGAGAGTTTAAATTAAACAGTATTTATGAACATATTTGCAACTAACAAGTGTTTGCGAGGTTAGTTATAGAAGGCTTAACAAAATAATGCTGAGTAATCCAATTGCAGTCCTGTACTATCAAATGAGCCGAACTCGCGTGTACGAAGCGTGAGACAAGTAAGCAAGAATGTCGACACAAAGGTTGTAGGTCCGAAACCTATGTAATGCATGAATCTTTGAACTGTTTTCGTGGCGTGGTGGACATTCCGAATCTTCATTGTATTGAATCTATACTCCAATCCATCCAAAATCTCTTGGCCTAACGAACAACATTGTTAAATCGCCGTGTGTTATTGAGAAACTGACTCCCTACACTAAGAACAATGGTGTAGGGAGAGAAGAAATGAGACCAAGGAATACCATGCGCAAATATGGGAAGGTACAAGGCCGAGAATGGCCTATACGATATTCGGGATGTGTGAATGTACTCTTCACTGAGAATGTCCCTAGAGGAGCAATAGGTACTGCGAAGGCTGTGGTGGGCATTCTAGGTACGAATAGATAGCTTCTGGAATGAGGGTGGGGCAAAACTAAAATTACACTCAGACTCAAAAGAACGTGAAACTAGCTAGTGCAAGGAAATCTGTGCCACTCTTTAGCCCCACTAATTCATTGTGACGTTGAATAAGGGCATTGAATAATTAAAATAGCTTCATTCTTTAAAAAAATTGCAGTCTTTAGTCGTAATTTTCAAATCAATTGTTACTGGGGGTGGAATGATTGGAAAATTAGTGCCTGACAATTTAGGACCACTGAACGACTTTGTATTATCTGTGAGGGAACACAATATGAGTGCAGTTTTCGCTCGGTATGGAACATGCTGGAGCCACCATGTGTATTTCGGTAGGCAACATGTTTGTGGGTACTAAATTATGGTCGCCGTGCACTCTCCCTCCAGTAGCCCGAGCGGCTGGCGGCGTGGGCGGCCAAGAGAAGGCGAGAGGCGTGGAACGAGGCCTTCTCCGCGACCGCAAAGGGCGGGGGCGGCGGCGTGGATGCGCGGCGCAGCGCGCGTCCCCAAGCGAGCGTCGCGGCGCCCTGCGTCCCACCCCCACCCCCGCGGCGGCCTCGCGCCCTCGCCCTCCTTAAGCGGCGGCGCGCGGGGTCTTTTTGCTCGCGGAGGGTGGCGCGCTTGACCCCGATCCGCTTCGCCGCCCCCTTCCCGCCCCCGCGCCCCCCGCCTCGCCGGCCACGCCGGCAACGCAGCGTACGCGCCCACGCTTCCCGCGCCACCGCTGCCTCGCCGCCCCAGCAGCCCCTGCCACCCCTGCCGCCTCTGCGCCCCGCCGCCCACCGCCCCCGTCACCCTGCCGTCCTGCCGCGCACGCCGCTCCCGCGTCCCGGCCCGGCTCGACCCGGCTAGGCTCCGCCCCCCCCTTACGACGCCTCCGCTCGCCCGGTCACCACGACCGCCCCGTCGCTGCCCCGACATCCTAGCCCCGCCGCAGCGACGTTCCAGTCGTCACCACGCCACCCACCGCTACTAGTTTTCCATTCTCCGATCAACACCAGGCGAATGCCGGAGCAGTACCCTAACAAACGGGTCACCGACCGCGCGCGTTCTATTTTTCGTCTTCCTTGACTTATGCTCACCCCTTACGTACACGCACACACAAGCTACATATATTACACTTACTGACTTACACTTACAAGCACTACACTACTGTGGTGGCCTGCTGGTGCGCGATACCTGGTTGGGGAAAATCCCAAGGGTAGCCAAGGGTATGTTGGGGCCGGATCTCACCATCCAGCGGGAGATAACCACCGCCACATCCAGAGGAAAAACATACAATACACTTACGGGAGTAATAACAATTGATGCACGATTAATATCAATCAAACGTTCAATCATCAACCGCTGCTTACCGCTGCCGCCCTTCCTCCCGCTTGCGGTGCATTCCCTATCTCTGCTTCCGCAGAACCTACCACTCCTCCGTCGCCACCGCTACCAAAGCCAGTCCTCTGCAATCATCGGTGCTCAATGCTAACTCCTTCACCACCAGGAACCGCCGCCGCCGCCGGAACCGCTACGATCATCGCCATAGCAATCGTTGCCGCCACGAACAAACATTCGCTACAGCCACCTTCTTCGCCCCCGTTTCTGTAGACAGCTCTGCCATCATTGCTCCCCCCCCCCCCCCCACTGACCTCCGTGTCCCCGAGAACATTAAATTCGTGACACCGCAATCACTACTTTTACTCCTTCATCGCATCAGACAACCAATACATGTCATACAGAACTATTGTCATTCAGAACATAAATCATCCAGAACCGTGGATGTATTTTTGACATAGACACTGTATCAATAACAACATTTTAAACATAAATACACTGTATTTATAAGAATTTTGATTTTCTTTGTATGAAAAAATACCGACCTCCAACTGGATACTAGTAAGTTAATTCCAAGGATTATGAATGTGACAACATTTATGTAATTTCGCGGATGGAAATAAACATATTTCTTTATTTATCACCACCATCTCCATCGCCACTGTCACGACGAACGCCTCCGCCACTTCCACTGCCGCCGCCGCCGCCGCTTGCATTGCCGCGTCTTTGTCGCGCGGCGCGGGATTCGGCCGCCAGGCGCGCTCCCGGCGCAGAAAAACCGTCGCCGGCGCCCCGCCTCCTCGCGCGCTTTTTTCCACACGCGATTCCCACTGAAAGACGCTTTCCATAGTCCCCGCAGCTGAGAGGCGATGGCCCGAGATTATCTCGGGCGCCGTGGACTGGAACGTGGGAAATGCGGCGGGCGGGCGTTCGGCGTTCATTCAATCGGCTTTCACGGAGCATGATTATAATTGAATGTTATCGATGGTTGGTGGCGACATACATTAAATCAGATCAATGGTTATTCAAACACGTATTATATTAACGTATTCGTAATTTAAGAAACATTGGCTACAACGTCACTGAGAAACCGTTTTGGTTTAACATACACTACACTTGGTCATGTAGTATTTATGCTTTGTGTTGAGAATAAAACACAGAGTTATCACATTGCAGTGACGTGAACCTCTTGCTTGACGATCTTGATAATCACATTGCTTGCATGCTTATATTAGATCTTTTCAATCTTAAAAGTAAATTTTTTTATACATTTTAAAATTTTCTCGTAAATCATGAGTTGATGACTAATTCATTAACACTTATCGCCACCTAAGAGCAATGGTATCTCTTTACCAAAATGATACAGAATAGGTCATTTCAAGTAAAAAATTCACCAGCGTGTTTCTCATAATAGGAGCGATAAATAATTATTAACCGTTTTGGATCCAAAAGTATAGATTCTCGCATTCGATTTTTCGATTTCGCCGCAATCTGTATATCACAGCAAAATTATGTGCGTTTCTAAGGCTCGATGCACAGTTGTTGACTTGGGAGGTCATTGGTGTCATTTGTGCACAGATTATGTCCTATAACTTTAAAGCCGGCAGGCAATGTAAGGTTCTGACGACCAGAAATCCGGCAATTGTAGAGCCCTCCGATAAAGTGTTGTAATTTTCCCCAATTCCAATAATAACAATTTTTTAAATTTATTTTTTTTAAAAAATCTCTGAATATTTTAGCAGTATCCTCAGTGCTACCATGTGCTATTTAGCAGCATACTCAGTGCAGTATCCTCATTCACAATAATTTTCTGAACGTTGTAGAAGAGAGAATTGCCAACAAACCAGAAAGCCAAGAAACTGCTGTGTAGAACGAATGTGTTTCTCTACAATGAGTTTAATAACATATGTTCATCTACTTGAGAAGACGTCGGCAAATTTTTTTGTATCTGAATTACCTCACGTTACCTATGTGTTACGTAGTAACAATAAACAACGCGATCAGGGTTTTCACCCAGTTTCCTCGATCTATTTACCAAATGTTCAGATGGTCCCTTGCATTAGTTCTGGACATAAATCTAGCTACAATATCTGATCACATTTTCTTGAGTTCAGTGGAAAATACATTATGAACCATAATAGATATTATCCAAAATCTGTAGTTCATTTGCCGCTGAAATTTTTTATTTGTTACACGGAAGCGAAAATTTGCTTATCAATGCTTGCCAAATCGCTTGTATTCATAATAATTAAACACCATACAGCATAAGAGGGATAGGAATTTCAGAGATCAAGAAGACGAACACATACGAATAGACGTCCCTACCACAGTACGGAAAACATAACTTATAAAGTTTTTTGACATTAAATAAATATATGAAAACAAATTTTTCTGTTTAATTTAAGCAATGATGCTCTGAACGCCGCGCCTTTGCGGTTCTGCTTTTTAGGATAAATGAGATTTATTACTCACATTACATATATTATAAGTTGTAGATAAACTATATAACCTAACATATAAATTGAGGATGCACGAAAATGGTCCCTCTTTTTAGATATTTATATGCAAAAGGCGATAAATTGTCTCGTTAAAAATCTAAATCTGAAGAAAAATTAAAAACCTGAAAAGATAAGTTCCATTCTTGTCACTGAAAGCATCACAATATTCGTGCATTTCAAATGTCATTTAACTGCTGTTACTCACCTGGGTATGTGAACCAAGTGTTTTCGGTCTACTGATATACAAAATCAAACGATCCACAAATGGTAAATTTACTTGTTTGAGTGTACTTCTTAGCGCAAGAAAGAAATTCAACTTACCCTAATACAGCTGCTGGAAACTTCGTGCTCATTGATAGCGCTGTGTTCTCCTCTTTTCCTCGACAGATCCCCATTTGGTCTGTGATGTGGAGTACTATTTTTACAGTCATCGCCACCGTCAGCACACTCGAACGCAAGCCTCTGGAAGCAAAGAAAATAATTTTACGATTAATTGAATAATTTGATTGTTAAATTGAATATAATTCTTTTGTCGTCAGGACAACATTCTTCAATACACTAGCAAAACAATTTTCAAAATTTCATTACGACTAACAAATTGTTCATACAGAAACACCAATAATCCCTGTACCGAATAATAAACTAATTTACAGATTTATTTTTGAAATAATTAATATAATTAAAAGTTGAACCAACCGAAAGGATAATGAATGAAGGAATGCGTTTGTAATAAAAATGCACAAAAATCACGAGCACTGGTTTATACGAAAAGACGAGAGTAAGTAGAAGATGAGAACACATCATTGTTTGGAAACCTTGTGAGAGATGAGATGTGTTGATGATGAAGATATGAACCATGGGGATGGGAGAGCTTGCTACGAAATTGGAATCAATTGCCTACTGAAGATGCCATTTGGGCTGAGAGTAATGGACGTCGGTTACCCAAAAAATCTGGAAAAAAGTTTTAATCGCTCATGTAAACCTCTCAGATGTGTAATCTGAATTTTACCTCATTTTCAAATAGAGCTTCATCTGCTATATTAAAAATATCACAAAAGGTTATTCCTTTTTCCGCCCCTTCTTATCGATTAGTCGAAAAGTTTATGATTACCAAAAACATGTATTAAATTCGGCACCGATTGACTACCAATACTTTGCAATTTAACAAACAATAGACTGCAGAAACTAGTAGAAACTCTATGACATTTTATCCCACATTTTAAGGAATTAATATTGAAGATATTATTCTACGTTTTCAGAAATTCCAAGTGTGAAAATACGTAAATATAAATAAAATATTGTATTATAAATAGTTTACATGTTTGGAAGATGATGGTCTCAATAACATAAACTACGTCGAGGCCATCAGTATTCACATTTCAGTTCGAGCAATGGTACAGGGCTGACATTTCATAGTTTGCAAATGAAGATACATCTCGTGCCTTTTTTCTGCTGAAAAATGACAGCCTTTGGTACAGGTGCAGCATATGATTTTCAGGAGTTCCTCAGGTGATAATTATAGTAAAGTAGTGCAAACAGTCTGAACCCAAGTTTTGAAGTCTCCCAGCACCATTTCAGTAGATTTCACGCTTGCACCATTTTTCACTCTTGCACCTACAAATTTGTCTTCAGGGCATGCTCTGTAGCAGCTGCTTCTGTGGGACGAAAAGAGGTCATGTTGAATGACAACTGTTAGACGTTTTTGAGACATTTCACAGCATTTAAGGAGTTCGTTTCACCCACAAAATAGGGAGCTGCTATGCACGTCTGCCCCACCTTATCAACTTTGTTTCGAGTAGCACTGAATTTTTCTGAATCCCTTTGCTGCTTTCTGCAGGTTCGTATTCGTTTTTAAAACCTTTAGAAATTTCATAGTAACAAACAAAATCATTCAGATATTTGCACAGTAGCGTTGATTGTTAAAACTGTGATTTACGAAATCTAGTTTTGTGTACGTTCTTCCACACATACGAGTATATCGGGACACCATCTTGACAAATGTGGATGTTGAGCACTGTACCAAAGGGTACATGTAGATGATGTACATGAACCAGAAGGGGGAATAATATGAAAAGGAGCATTTTTCTATCATAAATACAGAGAAAACAGGGAAATTACGTAATTATGCATACTTCAAGACATCATTCATGTTTTTTTAACACCAACCGTAATATTTTCGGACGATACTAGTTTTCAGAGTCGTAATAGGTTAAATGTCTAAGCACTTCTGTATTGCGAGATCTTCTTCTACTCGTAGAATATATACATGATACATCAGCTAATATCATTCTACTATCCAATGCACACTTCGAACGTGCAACGGTTATCACGACCAGAGCGGCTGCTAGCCATAACAATTTTACCTTACAATGTCGAAGACAATTGAATTTGAAATTTATAACCACAAACCTCACCAACATTCATCGGTACCAGTAATAGTTTTGCTAACATTTATTATTTTCCGCTGTGCAGTTATTTTCCTACATCAAGCGGAAGGAGATCTTGCTATTTCTCCAACATCCTTATAGGGGGCACAAAATGTCCTCGCTCTTCTAGCCCACGCAGGACCCTGGCAAATGGATCGTCGCCTTTTTTCCGGGCGGTAACAATGGACCTTGAATACAATGTTTACTCCAAGAAAGGATGATACCAGCGCGTCATATTAATAGTCAGGTGCTTAAAAATAATGCTCTTGTCTCCAGGCGCAAGGTCGTTTGACTTTAATCCTCGTAATGCGCAGGTAGGGGACGCCCCGACGAGATGCAGTCGGGGCTCATTTCCGTTGAGAGAACGTGGAAAGGAGAAAGGAGGGAGTGCCGAGAGAAGTGCAAGACAAAACGACATGAGAGAAACGAGAGAAGGAAAAACCCTTGAGAAAGGACAGAGTGCACATATATACTACAAAAAAGCCGGAAGTATTTTATCTAGTTTTGTTTATGGTAAAGTTATAAGGGGCATTTTAAGTTAAATCTTCACTTCTGAGTTGTAAATCATGTTAATTAATACAATATCACAGTGACTACTCTTTTAGTTCCCCATTTGGGGAAAATGTTTCCCTGCTTAATTATAAGCACTAAAAGTAAATATGTTGAAGCGATCAATGCATTATCAGTCATGCATGTGGTTTGGGAATACGTCCATATGAAAGGAAGTAAAAGTAACTCACTTGGTTTATTGGCGACTTTTAATGTCACTCCCCTTCCCTACTTCTCATTGTGTGCTCATCTTCCTACCAACACTATACTTAACAAAGTAATGCGAACAATATTTCTTGTAATTTGTACCCTTAAAACATAATGTAATTTTCCGGCTACCTCTAATCATCAACAATATTGTTTTAGTATTTTCATCAACACTTAACACTAGAACATTTTTACGTAGTTTGAATAAATTTTATATTTAGCAATTGTAGTAACTAAACGAAGCAAATGCCAAACAATGATCTAAGCATAGAAGAATAAATAAATATTATTCTTTGAAGAGTACGGCTCAAATAACCGAAATAAAATAACAAAAGAAACAAATGATGTAAGAGGTCAACGGAGACGAAATGAAACTGCACCTAAAGAAAACGTAACTGTAGACGCGACAAAAAGTAAGAAAGCAGAAGAAAGCGGCAAACGAGGCGGAAAGCGAACAACAGCTGGGAGGAGGAGCCACAAGCAACGGGTCGCAAGGGAGATCGAGTACGCGCCCGCCACCTCCCTCCCACGCGAGGCGGCTCCGATGGCCGCCCACGCACGCCTCCCCCGCAGGCGGCGCGCGCGCTCTACGCCCTAAGGCCCTACGCCCGAAGCACGCGGCGAAAACGTTACCTCGCGTGGCGCTAGCTTGTACTGAATTGAATTGAATTAATGCCTTATTTTACGTGACGAGACTCAGGCCATGAGGCCTACTCTACCGTCTGACCACGCAAATTTCGCTACGCTCCTTTCACCAACTAGCAGAGAAAGAAGGTATTCTTTGGGCGATTTGAATTTAGCTCAGAGGCGTTAGGCTTGAGTATCTTTTACATGCAAATAAATCTACTAACATGGGACAGCCGGGTTTACTTCCCCTCCGAAGGAAGGCGTACGAACGATTTACGCCCTTAAAAATCCACGGTTTTGATTGGGTTTGAAACCACCAACTTGGGTACAACAATCCGATATCCTAATAGTTACACCATCGCCGAGCTTGTACTGAATTGAATTGAATTAATGCCTTATTTTACGT